ACGACATTGCGGGAAGACCTGCGATCTTCTCTTCTACCTACATCAGGAACCCGATCAATAATGCTAGCGAGAGGTTGAATGTATGGCTGGTATTACACTGTAGATAGGTGGCGGAAGACGGATTTGAATTAAATAGTGTTGAATTGCGCTGTGCTGTAGCTATTCTGACCGGTGCTGTGTCGGGGGGTCTGGTGGCATGTCGGGCTGCCCTGGGTACAGGGGAGCCGACTGAGGTATTTATCTACAGAATCTGGGTTGGAAGATACCTCCGTTTGTTCCACTTTTCCTTTCAGTGCCACCTTTCATCCAGTCCTCCTTGTCCGGCCCCTTGTCCGGCCCATTCAGCCAATTGCTCAATTCAACAAATAGACGGCTACAAGTCCGCTGTGACAACCATTTATAGAGGGAGACTTATAGCGACCTACGGTTCCCGTTCAATTCAAACCCGTCAGGTAAATAAAGCGGAGAGGGTGCAGACTCTAGGATGGAGGGTGCAGGATCTAGGTAGGCCGAGACTTTGCGCCACGGAAAGCTGGATCATAACTAGGTACCTAGGTCCTGGGGTGGTCTGAGCGTCTGGCCGGGCTCGCCTCGCTGCACAGGTGGCAACAGTTGGCGGTGCCCCCACTACAACACACATCTCAGCCGTCACGAAAAATCAAAAACGAATTTACAAACTACAGTTACTCTCGTCTCCACGACATCAACCTCCTCGCTCTCAGCCAAACTCAGCGAAAATGGCCGACTCTGTCACTCTTCGTACTCGCAAGTTCCAGCGGAATCCCCTGCTTGCTCGCGTTCGTCACCGCCCTGTTGTCTGACCTTTTTTTTTTTGGGATGGGACGTGCTAACAGAAATTGGTGTTGCAGAAGCAGATGATCGCGTAAGTTTCTTTCCCGGCGTCCACATTTCGATAAGCGACAGCGACAGCGACAGCAATGGCAACCGTATTGCCAGAATGCCGCGTTCTCTACTCCGCTATGTAACCCTTTCGAGTCCAGGTCCCTAACACCTATTTTTCCAGTGACATCATCCACCCCGACCAAGCCGGCATCTCCAAGGTTAGCCTTCAGGAGAAACTCGCTACCCTCTACAAGGCGACCCCCGAACAGGTCAGCGTATTCGGTCTACGCACTGCTTTTGGTGGCGGCAAGACCACCGCTTTCGCCTGCATCTACGACTCTGTTGAAGCCCGCAAGAAGTTCGATGCCAAGCACCGCCTAATTCGTTCCGGTCTCGCCACCAAGGTCGAGCGCGCCTCCCGACAGCAAAGTACGTCTACATTCACGGGCCTCATATCTGCACTGGACAATTGCCTGACCCAACTTGACAGGAAAACAACGCAAGAACCGCATGAAGACGCTCCGCGGCACCGAGAAGACAAAGGGCAAGAAGGCGAAGAAGGATTCGTAAAGGGTTTCATATGGGTCATAACGGTCAGGGACAGGGAACGAGACTACTTACGTAGCGAAGTAGTGTTACGTGACAAAAGGCAATGTTATAAAGCATTTTTCATTGATACCCGGTGTCAACAAACCGATTCCCGCAATACACATTGCAACGAAACCGAAAAGGAGGGAAAAAAAAAAGAAAAGAAAAGCTTTGTGACAACCTCGTTTTTCAATCTGCTGTGAGCATCGCTCGGCAATGCGTTGCGGGTATCTTGACTCCCAGAGTATCCCGCGAGAGAGACCAATCGTGAGTGGTGTTCATTTGCGGACAAATTGGAAGTTGATTGCGCCCCATGACTGCATCTGCTCGGCCATTTTCACAACCCTCACGATTGTACGACCCTCTGTCGCCTTCTATGCCCCGATCCTCGGCTCGATTCGGGTCCAATGCTATCAAGATAGGTCCGGCATGACAGCTGAGCACGAATATGTCGTGTAAGCTGTTCAATTCTGTATCTCGAATATATGACCGAGTTCGTATCCGCAGCTTTGATTCGCCTACAGTGATCTTATGGACAGGATGAATATTGACATGTCACCTGCTGTGCCCAATTGGTTTGCTCCATTCATGAATCCACACGAACTCACTTTTCGGTCCGTGAATAGGTCGACTGGCTTGGCTCCTGTTGAGCCGGGTGAAGCTCCAGGGCCAGTTGTAGATAGTGTATGTCCTAGATCACGTTATCCTTTCCATCATGAGTTCTCCCAAGGCCTTTTATATCACTATTTCGAATTTAGGGGAGCGTTTTGAGGAACCATGCCAATCCATGCAATCTACGACTCATATAACGGAATTGCTGTGCAGGTAATGGAGAGATCATCTGGTGTCGATTTGGGATAAACCGTGTGGCAATTGTAAAGGCAATCCATGTTGTATACCGCATACCGGGAATCCTGACGCTCCCACGAACTCGGCGTCCCAGACGGACATAGGTAATGTAGGACCGTCTGCCATCTGTATCGCTCGTATCTATGTGGGCAGTGTACCTTCACTAGATAGGACTCGAATCTCAGACTATCTCAAGTAGAGTATCAATCTGCCTGCCAGAGGCTCAGGCCAATAGGGATTCTCCCGAGCGAATTATCTACAGTTTGTTGCTTGACAGTCACTTCTCCAAGTGTACACCCATCACCAAGTTGACGCCGAGCAGAAAGTTGATACCATGCGACTGCTTATTTCTGTGCAGCCATATTTTCCGGGTATTAAGCCACCTAGTTAGGGCCGGTAGGGTCATCGTAAAGTTGACGACCGTCCAGAATATGGTCTACTACCTCCGTATACGCAACGGAGTCTGGAGTTGTTGCGCATAGAAGCACTTGCTTTACTATCTACAGCGAAGAACCTTCCAAACCCTCAAAACACGATTATTTTTCCCACTTGATAGAATTAGTATTCATATACATAGGAATACCTCGGCCAATTACTACATACTTACTTGAAGAATTTACAAGTGTCTACCAGGAAAGAAAAGGCATTTCATAGCGAAGTTATTATGACGTCGACTTGGACTCGAGCTGTGTTGAAGTTGTAATTGGCGGAGATTTGCAGCTAAAGGGAGTCAGATTATATCGGGGTTGCTCTCATAGGGCGGGTGTGGATTTTCCTGTACATAATGGAAAGTGTTGTATGTGCATTGCAAAGGCTCAACAATATTTTAAACGAAAGGGAAGAGCCACCGCACACGCGACGCGGTCATCATCACCAGGCAGTTCGGCGACGGCCATCACAGTTGCAAAAGCCAGCCGTTTTGTTTCTGCGCGCACAGTCCAGAGCCCCAACCGGGTCGGGTTCATCGGCGCTGCCACATAAACCGCCCGCCCACTTCCTGCACGCCGGGTTTCCCCCTTTTCCTCACCCTTCCTCGGACCCACCACGCACGCGAACAACCACCGTCGTCTTCGAACCGCCATTCACGTATACGACGCTGGCCGACGCAATGGAGACCGATGCATTTGCCGACATCGAGAACGGTGACGGCGGGGATTATTTCACGGCCATGCCCGTCTCCCGAGAGGCCAGCCCAGCAAGTAGGTCCGTTGCGCCCGCGCGTGTGATTTATAGTTAACGCCCCCTTTTTCCGCCGCAGGATTCCCGGTCCCGAGTCCCATCCCCTCTGGCGCGACGACGCCGCGCGCCGACCTATTTTCCATACCTGAAAACATCCGAGCAATCCGTCTGCAGATATTCGAGGCCAGGGAAGAGGTGCATTATTCACACGATACGTTTGAGGACTACTGGCGATACTGTGATAACATATGGACTCCATCAGGCAAATCATACACGAGAAAAGACGGCTGCGTCACGCGCCATTACCGCTGCATGCTCCATGCCAAGCGGCCTCGCGTGCGGGAAGAGACCAAGGGCGAGAGGAACAAGAAGTCCAGGGTTCCCGTGGGCTGCCCTGCCGTTGCGAAGAAGACTGTGCGCGCCAATGGAGCCATCATCTGGGGCCCCGCCGGCAAGTTAGGCCATAACCACGATTTGACCAAAATAGACAGCATTCGGCGCTCTGGCTTTGTGAGGGCCGCTGCGAAGCAGGAGGCCATGCGCGGATACGCCCCCTCGGTCACTCTGCGGGTAATGAAGGGCGATAATGGCAGAGACATGGCCGTGCAGAACGCCATGGAGTCCATCGGTGGCCAATATCTGACTCGCCAGGACATCACCAACGCCCAGTCGGCGTACCGCAGAGCTCATCCTAATGTGCGCATCGTGGCCCAGGACTTCCCTTCTTCACGGCCCGTTCTAGAGCAAGCAGCGAGCTCTGATCAGGTCGAGGAGGCGCCATCCCTGCCAAGGCACTTCCCATCCGCGTGGAACCTGGAAGAGGCGGCCATGGCGGCCGGGCTCATCCAGCGACGCGGTGAGCGGCGGGACGAGTTCACGCGCATCTTCCAAGAGGCAAATAATGACGAGGACGTGGCCATAGCACGCCTCCTGTTCTGGGACAAAGACGTCACAATGAATGATATCCCGCCTTACGAGCACCGTAATGTATTCACGCTGGCCACGCAGGCCCGCCGCGGCAACCTGATCCCGGGCGTCTTCAAGACGCCGCAGAAGGTCTACGGCTTCCTCCGGTTCTACGGCACTATGCAGTCCGCGCTGGATAGACTAGAGACGATCATCGCGGAGGGCGATGGCAAGAAAAGCTGACGGTCCCGTGAAGATATTTACGGCGGCGCGTTTTGGGATGGCTGGGTAGTAAGTAGTATTAATCATAATAGTTAGGTATACATATAGTGATAATGATGATAATGATATTTCCGTGATTACACCTCCGCGGCGGTCGTGCGGCCGCTGCCATCATTAGGCGTTCAGCAGCTCAACACGGAGTAGGGGGGACATTCTACGCAAAGATCGGTTTGCTGACTGCACGGCTAGGAACGAGAGGTAAGCACGAGAGCAAAACAAGCCATAAGGCTTAGCGGATGTAGACATGCGCGAAATAACAAAAAAAAAAGAGATAAAGAGAGAGAGAGCAACACGCCCACCGCAATATGTATGGTGTGCAGGAAGCAAATGCCCAAAAAAATCGAAAGATAAGTGGGCCTCTCCGGGATTCGAACCCGGGGCCTCTCGCATATCCCGATCAACCGGAACCCAAAGCGAGAATCATACCTCTAGACCAAGAGGCCCGACCAATGGTTGTCTGGTCCCCGCCATATCAGCCCTTATAACGGGTCCTTGCCGACTGGTGCACTGTATTGCTCGGCCACTGCGGCTACTTCTAGGCGTAGGCTGGCCGAACAATCTGTTAGGGCTCACTTTTTGGTTGGGAATTTGGATATGGGTTGTACTTCGTATATAACTCATGCGTCTTTTAATTTTTGGGGGCATATTGTCTTTGGAGTCATGAGATGGGTAATTGAGAGTACCTAGTTACCGCTATGCAGATACCTATAGCATCAACCTCGCCGCTCCTGGCGCTTTGCATTGCCGCCGGGAACATGAGTAGACAGAGCAATGCCATTTCTTCATACTGAGATCCCAACACGGCCCATTCGGATTAAGCCAACGCATCTTTCTTCATGAGTAATGAAACCGAGCCAAAAAAGAGAAGAAGAAAAGAAAAAAGGGGAGCGGGAAAACCCAAGCGACAAAACACGTTCTAGACCCCTCTAAACCCTCAGATCTACACTAATATCTAACATCTAGCATCGTATATCCAACGCCCGGAGTAATCTAAAATCGTTTAAGGCTCAATTTTTCGTCCCGTTCACGCCGTTAGCCCGCCGTCGGGAAATCTCCGCAACGCACGTCTTAAGCTCGTGCATCAGCGCCATTTCGAACGCGGCGCGCATCTCCCTCATCTCGACCCCCGTGGGCGGGATTTTGAACGCCTCCCTGCGGCGACGGCTCTCCGGGAGTTCCCACAAGCTTGCGTTGGGGTCCTGTCCCGTCTTGTCTACGAACTCGTATGAGCGGTATTCCGTGTTACTCCAGCCAGTCCCTGCGTGGTGTCGGCTGTTAGTCGTCGTGATAAAGCGGGTGGAACGATGATTAATGACGGCCTGATTAATAGCCGGGGGAAAATCAAATTAAATGAGATAAGAGACAATTTCTCTGATCTGGTGCGTAACTTACCTCGTCCGGGGTTTATCCCTGACCAGTCCTCCGTGATAAAGTGTAGAATACCGCCATGGGTGACCAGGACAACCTGCGTGTCGTCGCCGGCATCCTTGACGAGATTCTGGAGCCACAGCCTCACATCACGGGCTCTAGCCTCCAGTTTCTGGGGCTCGGGATAGTACTTGGAATCAGGTGTCTTGTTGTTCCAGTCATCCGTGATGAGCCGGAGGTCAGCGAGGTCGCCGAACTCCTTCTCTAGCTTCTCCACATCGCTGCCGATGTCACAAGGGAAGAGAGAAATTTCCTGAGCATCCGGGAGAGCCACGATCTTCTTTCCTGCCTGTACTGCCGGGGCGAAGGAAAGCTGGCACGTGAACATGGTACGACGGATTGGCGACGCAACCAGGTGAGTGATCTTGTCGTGAGAGGGAAAATTCTCGCATAGCTGTTCGCATTGTTCCCTGCCGAGGTCGGTCAGGTCTGGATCTCGTATCCATTGGTTTGCAACACTGAGGTTGTGATAGCCTTGAGCATGACGGACGAGGTGGATAACTGGCGCCATTTTTTTCCCTCGCGGTCTCGCCTCGGATGGGACCGATTAAACTCGATCGTTTAGTACTAGGTTAGGTAGATTGAGAGATATCTGATCGTGCTCAAGGCTTGAAGACCGGGAACAAAGCGACGTTGAACTAGAAAAAAAAAAGGATTCGATGTGCTCTTAAATACCATCTAATACCGCCTGCAAGTATTCCTTTCGCCGCGCCTTGATGGATCATGACTCAGCTGCGATGTCGTTGGCTTATCCTTTTATGAAGACGGCCCCATGAAACCAAATGTGGAGCCACGATGCAGACGAGCTACTACCCCTGGGCCATCGTGTCCCGCAAATATGATCGTAGCAACAAATCACATCCACGGGTTACTGCACACGCCGCCATCGTTGGGCCGGAGAGCACCCACAATGTAGCGTCGTCCAACGGTAGCTCACCGGGTTCGTCGGGGCATGTCGAGCGTCGTTATTGGAAAGATATGTTTAGTTTGCACGTCCTAGGTATGACTCTTCATCGCGCTCCACCCGACCTCGGTCGCGATGGCGGCCGGACGCAGGGCCGGACGCCGACGATGCGCGTCGGGAAGCCCGTTTACAGTAGATTCGTCCCTCATAATGTGAGTGAGGGTACTGTCGTTAATCGATTCGTTGGTACCTATCACATCATGAGGCATATTACGCAAAGGCCAGGTTACCAGACCCGTGAGAAGCAAACATTCAGCCAGCACAGCGGCAACGACCACGCGCTCAATTTGATCGACTGTTAGAGGCTCTTACAGGTCCCGGTTCTAGGCAAACTCAGCAGAGCCAATGGGTGCAACTGCCTCAACTCAGACATGGATCGAGTTGCAGATCACGATGAGACGGCGGTAACAAATAGGATAGTGAGAAAGAAAGCACCTAGGTTAGTGTAGTCAGCTTCCCGTCGGATTCCCGTCAAAGATATAGATATGTGGTTCTGAGCCGTGCATCTGGCTGAGCGCAGCGTAACTTCTAGATAGATAGGTGGTATAGGCGGAATTTGACGTGTTCGGACGACCCCCAAGGGATGCGAATCGGCATCATGCCACCTGAGCTAGGTAAAGAGGCCTTCGAAGCCGGCAGCCCATGCCGTGCGTTCTGTGTTGGCCAACAATGCCGGATTTGGCTTCGGTTGCATGTATGCACCTGGATAGCGACCCTATGCCATCCAGTACGCAGCAGGTAGATACAGACAAGGGAGCCGGGACAGATGGCATTATGTCGGTGTTTGCAGACCGGTTGACGAGGTCCCTGGGGATATCTCGCCAAAAAAAGATGCGGATGGACGTACACCGGACACCTCCGGACACATGATATCCCCTGAAACCAGGACGTGACATGATTAGACAGGGACTTGCCGTATCACGCTAAGCCCGATGTCTAGGTATTTTCCCAGCGGCCTCCGCTCGTGTCGTCTGGCGTTCCGTACAATGGATATCTGCATAGGCGGCGATATCTGCATAGGAGCGTATCCCCGGAACCTGGATTACGATTCGCTACGGACCCGGTATGTTCCTGTACGGAACACAGGACGTATACGGTCTGTATACTGTACAGTATCCAGATACTGCGTATGACGGGCCACGGCTGTCCCGAGTTCTCCGTTTTAATCGGTTTTCTAATCTTATTTCCTGGCCGCCAGTGGGCTCGAGCGCCTTGCATGGTTACCGTCTGCGGGCGCTAGTCGCACCCAGATATTGGCCAGGGTTGGCTATCGCTTTTCTGCCGGTGCTAGCGCGTATTATCGCGTATCCACTGGTAATTAATACCATTTCTCCAAATCCCACCACTTTCACCTTGACTCCTGTCTCTTCAAGCTTCATCTCCCACGATCTCTCCAGTCCACTTGACAGCTTGACTCTAGACATCGTCGGCTTCCCACAGCTCCAGACTCCCTTTGTTTGTCTTCAAAGACCTGATAGATACCCTCTACCGCCAAACGTTCCTTCGTGAAGCCCTCGGGTGAGAATCGCAAGTTGACAACATGGGTGGAATTCGTGAGCTCCCCCTTTCCTGCATCTCAATCCGAGTTCTTCTCCCTTCCTTCGACCTCCTGTTCCCGTCATGACGATGTCGATGGGCGATTTGCACAATCGCATCAGCGACCATCGTCAGTACGGATACCTCCTCCACTCCCCTCGCATCCTGTGGCTAAGCCGGGATGGCGAGTTCCTTCCCCATTCCCCCTTGCTTCGCATAGCATCGTGTACCTACCACGAATGCGTGCTAACCATCGTATTCCCGTACAGCGTTGAACGCTCTGAGCAACCTCAAGGCCAAGCTCAAGGCCGCCTTCCGCAAGAAGGACAAGAAGTCCAAGGAGAACGAGCCCGCTGCTGGTACCACTGAAGCAGCCAAGACCGAGGACCCGACTGGTAAGTGCAATTGACGCAGAATATAGCCAACCCTACTCGCATATCGTGACGCGCCGCTCAGGCCAGCGTACTACAATATGCACAACGCTGACTCGCGTCTTAGCTGCGGCCGCTCCCGCTGGAGAGGACACTACTACCATCGAGGCGCCCAAGACCGGCGAGCAAGTCAAGGCTACCACTGACACCGACACCGGTAAGTTACCCAGGTTACCCCGCAACTCATTTCACATGAGGGCTGTGTTGCACCGCTTGGAGAGTCCAATCCAATTCGTGAATGGCCGGCTGCCTGGGCAGACTGTCATGAGCCGTAAGCACTCGCTAACCCCATATTAGCCGCCGGTGCTACCACCGAGGTCAAGCCTGAGGAGCAGACCGCAGAGGCCACTGCCACCGTCGTTACTCCTGGTGCTGCAACCGAGACCAAGCCCGCCGCAACCGCCTAAGAAGGATGGCAGAGCCAACCATGAGAGGTCGTAATCGAGGTCGCCTTGACAAGTAACTGCGGATCCAGTTCATGGAGAGTCTTTTCTTCTTTCATCATCACTATGATGATGATGCATGTCGGGCATACTCGATTTGATGGTTTGGGGGTTGCCGTGGTTTTGTTGAAGGATTTCCTGAGCAGGTTGTTTGGAGTTTGAGATACCCTTCTCGAGGATAACCAATTGAGAATACCTAAGGTTTACTGAAGTACGCTAAAATAATGTCTTTCCCGTTCTCTTATCGATACGGCATTTCTTTGTGACGTAAGACGATGCCCTTTCTGGGATGTAATTAACGGGGTGGCCCCGTGGTCCGAGCGTTTCCTCCCTGCCTGAGACAATCCTCGCCAATAGGGGCACTCTGAGGGCTCACAATTGCTCATTCAGATATGTCAAGATGAAAGGATTTAGTTCAAACAGAAACGTCTTCAGAGACGAAGGGAACGAACATGTCCACAGGTCATCAGAACTTGACCGTATTCTGGTCCACCGCCTAGACAAAACCTTCGTTGTCAATTCTTGTGCCCAGCGATGATATCTGTAGCTGCCGTAGCTACCTATATATAGGCTTGTCGCTACGTTGTATACCGTAGAGGTTTCGTTCGTTTAAATACGGTCAATTCCAAGGGCGGTTTAAT